CAAGGGACAAAGCAAACTCAGTACTGGAAGACCAAGTTAGCCATTATCACAATAAAATGTCACATATGCCTATTAGTATACATACATATATATAAACCTTATATATATGCATGTTAGATATGTGCACACATCTGTACACACAGTTTCTGTATCTATACCTAAGTGTGCACGTACATAGAAAATCTCATTTTTACCACTGTCAACTAATAGCAAATATTTGCTTCACATTGCCCAAAAAACCCAAAATGTCTTCTAAAGTAGGGAAAACACATACCCATTTGTCATATTCTCTGCAGAAGCATCCACATAAGACAGAAGCTGTATATGCAACTTTTAAAGTACTCCAAGTGATTCAGTATAGATCCATATACATCTATATTCAAGTAGGATTAGTTTTCATTTTAGAAGGAGTTGCTAAAAGCCAGATCAATACTCCCCACAGGATGCCAAGACACTCCTCCCCTCTGTAGGGACAGCCTTGAATCTGAACAATACAAATTCCCAGCAGTTGTTAATCTACAGGTAGATATTAACTGCCTAATTGGAAATACTGCAGTTTTCAGCAAATTTATGTCCAAATTCCCTACTCGTGGGCATACCAGTCAAAGCAGTCAAAAAACACACAGACAGTTTATCTAGGGTAAAGTTGGTTTTAGCAAGAGCAGGAGCAGCCATACACAAATAACCCTTTTAGAAGAAAGTAAGGGAATACACTAAGAGTTCATAAGCAATTTTCTCATCCATTTGGCCCGACTTACCAGGCTTATTTTCACTCCAACCCTGAAAACACACATGCCACTCACTGTCATTTCCTAGCTACTAAGAGTTTGCTCTGCCAGTGCTGTCTGACTAGAAGATGAAAGTCGAAGCTCTCCTGCTTCACAAGTCCGCTTCCATTCCTCTTTTTGAGCACAATTTAAAAAGTTAGTTTGTTTACTTCTGCCTCTCCATTTCAATTATGTCACTCGAGTAGATTGCTTATCTTGCAAGGTACTCCCAAAGGGTTATACATGCACTGACTTGCCCTTTATTGACTGTTTATTATTTCTCACGAACTGAAAAAGAAACAGGAACTGAAACTGCATGAGCAGCAAGCGTCTACATTTTTCAGTTTATCAGATTTCTTTCAGGTGAATAGAAGCTAAATATTTCTTCATACTCAATAGCCAGTTATAAAGGGCATAGGTAGATCATCATAATGTCACAGTGAATAGCATTGCAGAGAACAATGCACTGTATTTAACCATGATACCATCAAGAAATCAAAGCCTCAGCCCACACCAGGCTGTGCTCCCGCCTCTGTAAGTGAGCAGTTCCAAGACAGTGGGAATGGATGATGTGATGCTGCCTCGCCTGCCTTCAGCCATGACTCCCAAACCCTCTTCCTTCCACTGGGGCTGCTACGGCTACTCAGACCACTGGTAAGGAAAGTGAAACACACTCCTCAAAGAAATGTCTCAGTATCTTAGAAAGCAGGGCAAGATATCCTACTGCAGGTGTTAGAAGCGTATTTTCAAGCTGAAAAAAGTTATCTGTAATATACAATTCAAAATCTGCTAAAATTTGCTACCCCAAAGATGATAAAATGAATGAAGCACTAGCCATGTTTAACTGGCTTTCTGTGAACCTCTGAGCAGCACTACCCTTGACTCCTCAAAGCAGTAAGTAATCCAGGATCCCTGGGTCCAGAAGCAAGGCAAGCAGCAGCCTCACCTCAGAGGCAAGCCAACACTCAAGTCTGCAGCTGTTTCTATGTTTTACATTAAAGCACCACTGTCTAAAAGATGCAAGACCCATGTGTGGCTGTGGAGCACTGTCAGTGACCAGCTGTACACTCAGCACTGTGAGTGCAGCCTGCTCCTCCAGTCCTGCTGTAAAGCTCACACACAGCCCACGTACCCAACACACAGCTCTGAATTTCACTCAGGGCACGGACTGGAAGTTCAGTGCTGCAAAGACAACTCCTTTTTTGGATTTGCTCTCAGATGAGGACAAAAAGGGTACAGAAGAAGGGCCTCTCCAGGGCAGAAGGCTATGTGTTTTCCCACCACAAGTTTTTACTTATTTTTAGAAGTAACTTTTAGTTCACCTGTGATACTTTTGCCTTCCAGCTATCAAAAAAAATCAGTAATCTCGTAAACTCTGTACTCCAACTACAGAAAATTGAAATGAACTGAGAAAGACTGGTTCATCAACACTTCACAGCACCTAATTCAAAAATCTCCCAAAGGCCTCAGCAACAATCAAATCTACGAGCTCTACAAGAACTTTTATGACATGGTAAAGTAATTCATCTGGTCCAACATAAATACAGCCATTAAATAAGACAGCAATAACTTTGTTATAAATCATTCCAAGCAGCTTAAAGAGGCCTAAATGCAGACTCCCAAATGCCACATGATGCAAGCAGTCTACTTACTTTGTCACCTATAATCCAAAACAAAAGTCACTAGTATCACAAGACTAACTAGGTGCAATCAGGTTTTAACATAATTGTTCACAGTATTTTCTTACAAATTCCTCTTTTTAATGTGTTGTTTAAAATTTTATAACGAATTCCCTTGCATAAATAAGTGCTATATGCCCAACAGGTTACAATAGCACTTGAAATACTGTGCATTTTCTACTACAAAAATCACAACTGAATCACAGATATGTTTTACATGCCTGACACAAATACACACGAGTCTCTTCACCAAAGTAGCAACTCATTTTAACAGCATTGCTTCTCTGCAGCTTTTTAAACTAACCCGATAGGAAGAATCACTTTAATACTTATTAAGGAAACAGAAAGTGAGATTATGTACTTCAGTCTAGGGCTCAGTTCCTTCCCATGTGGCCAGGGAAGTCAAATGGTGATAAACACAGCAAATCAGTGTTCTAAAGGCTGCCCTTATCACCACTTTGGTATTTTGGTCAGTTATTTTCATCTCTGTTGCAAAGCACATGGAACACAGATAAACTGAACAAATTCTCTAGAAATGAGTCAGTTAATTCCTAAAACTACCCATAGTATTAACCTTCACAGGATAATCCCATCTTCTCCTAAATCCTACTTCCTGGGAATCAGGAAGGATTTCTGGATAAACACCAAATTAAAAAAAAAAAACAACAAAAAAAACCCCACAACCTTGAATGTAGAGAAGAAGTTACTGCAGTTGGACTTTTCCTAGGGGACTTTCCAATGTAAGGTGAACTCAATCAAGCATCCAGCACAGATGTTTGGAACAATATCAAACTTCAGAAGGCAGCAAGGCACTGCTAGTGATAAGCTGAATTTAGCATCAGTATAAAGGGAGAGAGCACTGCACTTAGTTTACTAAACATGGGGAGGGTGTATTTACGAACAAACTGCATCAGCAAATTGTCTCTGTGCACAAATACACAAGACTATGTTTTGTGCAACTGAGCTCAACTCTTGCACAAAAAAATAAAGGCACAGAGGGGCTTATGTGGCTCTGTTTTATACTTCAGAAGATACCAGAGGTCACAGCAAAATGAGCAACTGACTTCCTGCACTCTGTTTTTCATCTTTCTCATTTATTCACAGGCCCTCCGACGAACTCTAAAATGTTTGATTTTTTTTCTTCTTTTGAAATAAGCTTCCATAGTGAGGATGGGAATCTACTTATCTAATTCGTGTAGACCCTGGAAGACGCTGTGATAAGCCCATCAAAAAAAGATTTTTGATTGAATAAATTTCCTTGATTAGTTCTCAATTGGCTTTTTTACTGCAATGACTAACTGGCATGTTGAATACAAGATACCTATGACAAAGGCACTATCTCCATCCTTACAGTGAACGATCTCTAAGTGTGCTTTGACAAGCCAACTACCCAAACATCAGGTATTTCTAAATATAGTATCTTCATGTTTTGCAATAGAAGAACAAATGTTCTTAATATTATTCTTTTTTCCAGTATCAAAAATTTAAAAATAACAAACATGGCTTTAAGTTCTTACTTTAAAGCTGCCCGTCTTGCTAGTAAGTTTCCCTCTTTCCACAACACAACACAGTTTTCATTCCTCTGCCTAAGTTTTCCATAGGCCATGAACCAATGACTGTTTTCCACTGCATTTCATCTCTCTCAAGACAGTGCAAGTCTGCAGTTTAAATACAGACATTTCTACAGCACTGCAACACTTGAGTTCTCTCCTAAACAGCCTGGAAAAAAAAAACTTTTAAATTTCATTCTTCCTGATTTAGCCAAGCTGTGAATGTAACCATCCAATCTAATAATCCAAAGTGTGTATCTTATGCAATTTCTACATCTCACGCTTGTAACACAACTTAATATAGGAAAATTACACAAAATTACTGTGCACATGCAACTTTTCCTGAAAAGTGATGCCACTGTCTCAATCTGAGAAAACACCTCTATGACTTCAAAAGGTGAAAAAAGTTACCACTAAGTTGGTGCAAGAAGAGAAAAAAACATGTAGAAAGTTTTTATCTAGTAGCAAAAACTAAATATCTGTATAATTAACGAACACACATCCCCTCATCATCTTTATCAGAAGTAGGGTGAGTAAGTTGTTTTACCATTCCAGTAGTGATGCCCCTAACAAAAAGCAAAGCCAATCAAAGCACACTCTGCTGGAAGAACAGCGTCCTGAACCATAAAACCGCGCAGGTTCAGCTCGCAGGGGTACCGAGGGGAACTCGGGGCCTGCACTGGGACAGCCGAGCGCGGATGCTCGGTAAGGCGCAGGAGCGGACACTCGCTCCGCAGACGGAGAACGCCTCCGTTCCAGCGTCTCCCAGCGGGCCGGAGCTCCGGGCAGCCCCGCAGCAAACCGCGCTGCCCGGGGCGGAAGGGAGGGGCCCCGGCCGGGCACCGCCGGTGTGCCCCCGGGCAGAGACCGCCGGCCCCGCCGGACGGGGCTGCCCCCTCCCGCAAGCCGCAGGGCCGCGGCTCCCGGTGACGGCGCTGCTTTCACCCGCGGCCGTGTGAAATCGCCAGGCTGGGCTGTCCCGGGAGCATCTGCCGGACACCCACCCCAAGAGAGAGGAGGGCACGGGAGCCTGGAGGAAACCAAGGAAAACCGACAAGCAGTACCAGGGAAAGCAGCTCGGCAGGCACGCAAGGAGCCCGGCGCGGCAGAGGCAATGGGGGCCGGCCGGGCCGCAGGCGGCGAGGCCGCCGGGCAGGGTCCCTGACCGCCCGCTCCTCTAGCGGAGGCGGCACGGCGGCCGCCACCGGGCGAAACGCCACCGAGCGCTCAGGGCGCCGCTCGCCCTGCCGGCACACGGCGGCTCGGCGCCCCTCCAGCCGCGGGGCAGGTGCCGGTGCCCCGGACGCGGCGCAGCCCGCGCCCGTCCCGCCCCAGCGCCGCGCACAAACTTTCTCGCTCCGGCCCCGCGCCGCTCCCTCCCCGCGCGGCGGGCGGAGCGGCAGCCGCCGCAGCCAATAGCGCCGCGCGCCGCAGCCCCGCGGCCAATGGGGGACGGTGGGAGGCGGGACCGCCGGCACCGCGCGCGGGGGGAGCGCCCCGGCAGCGCCGGCTCGGCCGCCCGGACCCCCGGGACCCTCCGGCCCCGCCGCCGCCCGCGGCCCCGCCGCCGCCCCGCTCACCGGACAGCCTGGCTCCGCCTGCTCCTGCCGCGAGAGACCGAAACCGGCGGCCGCTCCTCCCCGGCTCCTCCGGTGCCTCGAGCCCGGGGCCGCGCCGGCGCTGGCGGCGGGCGCCTAGCGGGGCTCCTGGCAGGCGGCGCGGGCACCGGCGGCAGCCCCGACCTGCTCTCCGCCCCCCGCCGCTCCTGCCAGGCCCGTAAACATCCCGGCATCCCCGAGGATGGGGCGGAGCGGCCGCCGGGCCCCGCCTCGCCCCGCTCCCCCCGCCCGGCCGGAGGCGCGGTGTCCGCCGGGGTGGCCGCGGCCGGTCCCGGACGGGTCTGGGTGTGTCGCGGGAGCTCTTGGCTCCCCTGGAAGCGACGGAGTGGTGAGCGTGGTAGGACCGGGAGTGCCCGTCCCAGTGTTGGTGCCGTGGGGCACAGCGGGGCCCGGGCACTGCCGTAACGCGGCCGCTCGCCCCGGGCCGAAGTGGGAGCGGGAGCGGGAGGAACGAGCTCCGGCCTCTGGAGCAGGGACTGGCCCCTCTGCCCTGAACAGCGCTGCTCTAAGGCTTGGCTTCTGCCAGGTTTGAAAACGCAGCGTGCCAGACTTCCTCAATTTGTGTATAAGTTGTGATACTCAATCTGCGAGACACTCGGTATTAGCTGCGTACATCAGCTGGAAGTGACACAAACTCCTTTTTGCTACAGTGGGAGAAATAAAAGTGACTCTTGGTGAGTCCTGTTCCACCAGCTTCTACTTTACAACAGCACTGGCTTTAAGTAGATAAAAAATACCGAATTCCAGAATACTACTGTTTTTCAGGTTCCTGAAAGTTTACCCTGCTTCAGTGCATGGAAAATAATTACCTACACAGAAGAGAAGCCTTAAGAACCAATGATGGGGGAAAAGTATGAAAGCTGACCAGTTTCCCTAGTAAGGTTACGGATTACTGTGATCAAGTAACTTTTTCCTCAGGTGTAGAAGCCCTCTGTAAAAGGCACTACAGTAATTAAAAAAAAAAAGAAAACAGTAATTTAAGATTATATTGAATCAGATGTACTTGATTTTTCCAAAGCAAAACTTAAGTTCTCATAAGGTTGGAGGTTTTGCTGCAGTTTTTCCCTTGTAATAAGTAAAATAATACTTGATTTAAGCCTTGAAAAAGAAGTAGAAAATGGGCCAGTGTGTCTGGAAAAAATCTATTCACTTCCCTGTGTACAAAATTATATCTGTTTTTGAGGCAAATTTTTATATCTGTTCTGAGGCAAGCTTTGAGACAGCTGCAATGTCTCCAGTGATACAAAGTCTAATGAAATTTGAAAGGAAATTATTTTTGTTGGCTTTCATTTCTCTGATTTGTTAATCATTCTGCACATTTCCTCTGCATTAGCATTGGGGCATTCAATGCCACTGGCCAAATACAGTGACAAGGTGACCACCCAGGCTGTGAAATCAGACATACCCTATGACCTTCCCCTTTGATGTGCATTTTGTATTTCTTTAGGGTAGTCCAAAAGAATTAATTGGAATTGTGATTAAGAATTTTATTATTTTTTTTTTATAAGCTATCTTGCAAATGCAGTTTCTTGAACAAGATTTCCCTGGATTGTTTTCTTGTAGTAAGTGCAATACATCAGGGCTCCCCACATACCAAAGAGTGAAAACTTGATAGGTCTACCATACGATATTAAGAAGTTACTTTTAAGAATTACAATCAGCAATTCCACTGACTGGATTCCATCTCCAAAAATCTCTTCAGCCTCAACCAGAAATGGGGTTGTGTGAGGTAGTCACCTGTTTGTAAAATCTCTGATGTAAAAAGGAGAGGTTGTTATTTGATGTGTAGCTGACCATAAAATACTGAGTCTTATCAGGGCTCATGTTTTCACAGGTAAAGGCAATAGTACTGTAATACCCAGCTATTGCTATTTTCTAGACTCTTAGATGGAAAATGAACAATTCACCACCTAGACTTCAGTTGCATTTGCAGGTTTCTCTACATTCATACATAAAAAGAGAATACCCAGGGCTTACTTGCCTTTTTTTACAGTAGGTTTCTCACAGTCTTCCTTTGTTTAATCTGAGTGCATTTGAATTTTTTTTTCTTTCATCCTATTTTTGTACTCACTGCTCTTTCATTCTTTTTCTTTGATTTTGTCCATGCTGTTTTTTCACTGTATAGTTCCATAATATTTTGACTTCTCTTTTTAGTCACCTGAATCCAGTGGCTACTTTGGCCTGCAATACCAGCTGATGAAGCATCTCCTGTATTCCAATCGTACCTTTCTTAGAAGATGGTTGTTTCTATTTTATTCTTGGTGCTTGGGACTCAGAGAACCTAAAAATGAAGAGTCTGCTTTAGTTAATTAGTTCATCATCACTACCAGGCCAAAGGCTTTCATAGAAATGTAACTACACTGCCCCCATTAATTTTAAATTTGCAACGTGACACAACTTCCACAGAAGATCCTCTTCAGACCTGGGTTGTTCAAATGTTTATTTATAGAAGGATGTTTTTCTTTGCTTTTCAATTGACATGTGCAGTTAAATAAATTTGTCAAATATTCCCTGTAATGGAGACTTTATATCAAACAGAATCAGAAAGGCAGAAGAGACTCCAGAAGATCCAGTAGCCTTAGGGATTGTTAAGGAGCAGGCTCATCTCTGGCAAATGCTTCTCTCAGAGGCCAGAGGGGACACTGCCTAACCAGCTAGCAAAGGATTAGAGAAAATGGACAAAGACATGCTGGAATTAGGGATCTGTGAGAGACAACATGGCTTGTTCCCTAAGCCTTAGCAACTTCTGAAGGTGTTGGCAGCAAATGCTTTACACCTGGAATGGAACAGGCCAGAGACAGAAGGAACAAGGCCCTCACTATTTGTCAGTGGATGCTGCGCTTCATTAGCCATTGTTAATCCATTTACATTTCAGCATTGGTTTTTAAAAGCTGCACCAATCTTTTTCTGATCATTGAAATCTGTGAATATCCATAAGCTATAACTATAGTTAGAGTTCAAAAATATAAAAAATACCACATTATAACAAAGGGTATTATTGGGAATGGCAATGTCCATTGATGTCCTTTGTCGGGACTAAGCTGCTAGACTTGAAAGCACCTAGAGAGTGTTGGGTAACAATATAAAAATCAATCAGGAATTCAAACATTTAGCTCAACTCTCCAGATGGTTCCTAACTTGCTTCCACTGTTATCCAGGGCTCTGTACAGATGGAGATTCTTGAGATGTTCATTAACAGAGTAAACTGAAAAATACAGATTTGAAAAGTTTAAAACTTTCAGGCAGAAGAGGACAGTGGAGGATGGGAATAGATGTAATCTTTGAGGTCACAGAGATAGGAGCATAACATAACAGCTTCACTGGTTAACAATTCTTCAGGTTCTTCAAATCAGTAAAGTACAGGAAATTAATCAAAAGGAGCAACTGCTCTGCTCTAAGTCCTTGAAGCCTGAAAAGTCTCCCTCTGTCCTGGTACTTTGTTACTAACAGTAAAAAGACTAGGGTAGCTGCCTGTGACATGGATGGGGAAATGAGAAAGGCTGTGAAGGCAGGAGTAAAGAGATCTCCATTATATTTGCACTGGATAAATATTATAGGGCTTTATGCAGAACTTGAGCTTTGACAACATAAATCATTAAATGGAGCAATCCAGGGGAGCTTGGAGAATTCCTGATTTGTATCAAGCAGGGCACCAGACCTTCTTCTGAATTTCTGTATCAAAGAACTATTTTAGAATTTTGATCATAATATATTCAAATTCAAAAACCTTGTAGAAGTGAAAAGGCCAAATAAACTTACCATAGCAATAGTAAATGTTGAAAAGAGGACTACATAAAATGAAGGAAGTTTGTTAAAAGTAAATTAGAAGGAAATGACCTGTGTTAGAGTTTCTGAGGAAGTATCTATCATCTGTCAAAGCTAGTTAGAGGGTCTCCAAAAGACTAGCAGAGCACTACATGTGAATAAAGGATATTATTAAAAAGAAAAAGGAACTCCTAAAAAAGCGGGTGTTCAGATGAGAAAAACAGAAAATAGCAAAACCTCTGGCAAGCTACATGTAAAACTGTAAAAGGCAGACCATAAGCATTTGAAGGAAAATGTTAGTAATGGTATAAAACTTTATTGTAAAACCTCTTCCAAAGACATCAGATGCAGGAAGCCTGCAGGATAGAAAAACTGTTTGCTTATGTGGATATTATGAGAGGTTCCTACAGGGACCCCCTTTATACTGCAGAAACCTGTGAGAGTTTTTGGAAAGGTATGTGGAAACAGGGAGCTTGCATGATAGGAGATTGCTCTATTTCAGTAAAACTTCTTAACAAATCTTCACTAAAATTGCTTGAAGAAATTAAGCTGCATTGCAGTACAAAGAGAGGGTCAGTACTGAGCTATATTATTATTATATTATAAGAGTCAGTACAGAGTTCTGTGCTATAAGTTTTCCTAAAATTTGGTTATATATATATATATAATCACAGTTAAATACAGTTCTTCAAAATTTTTCTTTGCACTAGCACACTGC